CATCCTGGGATGAGGCTCAGTACAAGTCACTACTGGAACAGCTGGATATTCCTTTCAGAGACTTTCCCCTGCCACAACAGAAATTATTCCACCAACTGCTAGAAAAACACCTCCTAGCATTTGCCAGCAGCCCAGAAGATTACGGGTTCACTGAGGCCAATGACCACCCGATTCACACACTGCCCATCCATGAGTGGTATTGCCATATTCCCCCAGCACTGTGCCAGGAGGTCAAGGACTTGCTACATAATGTGCTGCAAGGCGGAGTGATTCGGGAGTCCCTGGGTTGCCCTGTTTTCCTGGTACGAAAGAAGGATGGTGGCCTGTGATTCTGTGTGAACTATCACAAATTGAAAACCTGCACCCACCAGGATGCCTACCCGCTACCCTGGGTAGAAAAGTCTTTGTTGGCCCTGGGCAAAGCTAAGTTCTTCTCCATCATAGACCTTGCTAGCTACTGGCAAGTCCTGGTCCGCGATTAAGACCAGGAGAAAACCGCCTTAATTACACCCTTATGGCTGTTTCAATCTAATCGCATGCCCTTCAGCCCCAGCAATACCCCCAGCACCTTCTAACGCTTAATGGAAAGATGTCTTGGAGACTTTAACTTTAAGATGGTATTAATCTACCTTGATGATATCATCATCTTCTCCAGGACATTTGAAAATCACATCACACATCTGGACCTTGTGTTGGTAAAGAACACCAAATGCACCAGAGGCAGCAAGCGGGAACTGAAATGGAAGTGCAACCAGTATCAGGTAGTGGGGCAACCTTTCCCATCTAGCCCTGTCTACGACTTGGTCTCTGAGGGACCCGACCCCGTGGCGAATCGGTTGCACCTATACATGCTGAGACCTTGTGTGCAAGTAGTGATTGCTCCAGGAGGCCTGATGGTGACCAAAAAACTTTCCACCAGTACATGAAGCCCCCACTGACTGGTTCTTTTCACCTCTTGTGCTTGAGTCTCCGGCCCCCTATAGCTCTGAGTCTGCAAGCTCTGATGTTGAGAGCCCGAGTGACCCAACCACCCCATCTGGTGCCGCAGGTGGTACCGACCCATTCAAAGATCTTACTTGGGGCCTTGGGGCCCAGGTAGGGGAAACCAGAAGACACGGATGACCCCTTGCCACCTGCAGCCCCCAAGTTACTACTTGACAATGAATCTCTGCTAAGTCATTCTGCTAAAGAGCAAGAGAATCGCCACACCATACAGCCTAATTATGGACAAATTCTTGCAAGATTCTCTGATTATGTTGTTTGACTGTGTTTATTAGTTCTACCTATCCTATTGCCTTGTTTTGCTGTATTATATTGTGATGCCGAGGACAGCATCTATTAAAGAGGCTGCGTTTGGTGGGATTCCTCTGTCCACCTAACTTGCTTAACTACAGTAATCTCCTTTATTTCAATTCAACCCCAATTCAGTCCTGTACAGAGCCAGGTGGGGGGGGGCAACAGGGCTGCCAGACAGGACAGGTGTAATGGTGCAGGGGGATGGACAAGCTGCGGCACCTGACAAATGGCAGGAAGGTAATACTGAGTCTCCTCTGTCATATGAAATGTCTCTAGATTGTTGTGTCTGCTGCATTCACCATCTGGATCAGAATCAGTACACGGCATCGCGAATCAGGATCAGCATATTAAATTAGTGCCCCACCCCTAACTAAAGTACATGCTCTGCCTACAACGACTTTCTGGACAAACAGAAAAAAAAAAAGTGTCCCTAAAAACGTTTTTGAAATATTGGCAACTATGTTCCTGCTGCATCTCTGTATTTGAACTGAACTGTGAGTGTTTCCCCTAAGTGAACCTCTCCCACTGGGGTGTTTGTAGTTTGACATTCTCTTCAATACAAGGTCCCAGTTTTATTGCAACCGGACTCTTTAATGCCACTGCACTACGCTACACTTCCCCATACACCTAAAGGGAATTCACTGCTAAAGTGTTGCTGAAAAGCTTGGTCCATCATTTGCTGCAAGCATGGACCCTTGCTCACCTTACTAACAGAAAGTTTAGTATCTTGAATTTCATTACCAAGGGTTAGGAGTATCCAGCAGTTACCCTGAACCTATTCAATGTCTGCAATAAAGCATCAAAAGAAGCATACTCCTAGACCAGAAGTCTGCAGACTTTCTAAATGAAGGCCAGTTTACTGTCCTTCAGTCTTTAGGGGGGCCAGATTGTGGCCAGTGGGGGTAGTAAATATCCTGGATTCAGGGAGAATAATCAATACCCCATGCTTTTTGTGATCAGTGGGAGTAAAGAAATTACATAATGCCTTTGGTCAATAGAAGGAATAGTGCCCCATCATTGATATCATGTTGGCGGAATAGTTCCACATTGTTGGTGTCAGTGGGAGTAATAGTGCCCTTTCATTGATATAATCTTGGAGGAATAGTTCTCTATCGTTGGTGTCAGTGTTAGGAATTATGTCCCGCTCTTGGTGTCAAAGGAAAGAATAGTGCTCCAAGTGCCAGAAAAGTTAGCAAAGGGCTGCATTTGGACAGCAGGCTGCAGTTTGGAGACCACTGCTCTAGACTGTTCATTGAGCCAAAAGAATGACTGCAACTGTGTACCTGTCTGCCGGGCAACTACTGGGAATAAGAACCTGGGCATTCACTCAGCAGCACTGTGGTGAGCACTGCATGTATAACAATAATAGCGTACAGGTTTTTTAAAATATTTTTTATTTTATATTACATTTTTGTGATATTTTTGTTTTACCCAGAAGATGGCGCCATATAGCTTTTTTTTTTTATTTTTGTTTTTTAATATTAATATATTAGTATTAACAAATGTTTTTTTTATATTTTTCCTTTTAGAACGTTTTTAATCTGTAGCAGTCTTTTCTGTTTTTTTTTTTTTTTTTACTGGCATTGCATTAAAGGATACACCATTATTGTGACCGAGATCAGCAAGCCTACTGAGTGTAATCAATTGTTTTGGGTGTACTATTACAAGTATATATGGTGGAGGTGAAGCTGTTGGTCTCTGCTCCTGAAGACACTGCACACTTCTGACACCTCATTAGGGAAGGACTTTTGGTTATGTCACTTCCGCTTTCTTGAAAGGCACACTGAACTGCACAGTGGCGTACTCCGTTCCAGTTTCCTAAAGACCTTGTCTCTACTGTTTATATGATCAGTACATTATTATTATCTTCTACTGGGATTTAATAAAGATTTTATTACACTATGAGTGGCTTCTCTTTCTCTTTTTCTGATGATCCTGCTGCATATGTCTGGTGGTCCAAGAGGATTTAAAGGAACAGCAGAATAATCCTTAATTTGATGGAGGATCCAGTTAATGGTGTACATAATAAATTCAGAGTTCAGTTTGACCCAAGTTTGGGGAACATCCATCCTTGTATGCAAGGGGTCAGTATGGTCTGGTGAGCGCAGTGTGTGTGTGGTGGAGTGGTACATGCATGAGTTTATTTTTCATTTGGAGCACATATGAACTAGAATTAGCACGCTGAACACATATAGACATAATAAATAAAGTTTAGTTATTTATTGATTTTTCTTTTTATGCTGCATATCTGAGGGTGTGTAAGTTACAAACAAAACTTTTTCCTTGCAGTGGGGCTGTGCCTGCACTGCAAAGGTTAATTAACTGTTTTTGTCTAGGGGAGAGATTAAGGGAGATACACTTACCTGATCCTCAGATCCTCCCTGCAAAAGATCGGTCCCTGCAGCACCTGCACCCCCGCGCTCTAGTGGTCTTGAATGGTAGACTGTTCCTGATATCATTAAGCCCAGTGTAGGCTCCATATACCTGCCGTGGATGTGGAGGACCGCTGTTTTCAGGTGGAGCGGAGGATCCGGTGAGTATAAAGCTTTCTCTTTCCCCTGGACAAAACAGGCACTTAACCCTTGCAGTGCAGGCACAGCCCCACTGCAAGGAATAACTTATTGTTTGCCTTGTATGTCTCAATTGAAAAGCCAAATAAATGTTCCTAGTGTTATGTTATGTTATTTTTTTTTTATTACTGTCAAGATACTTAAACACACATGCAATAAAGTGGACCTTGCACCAAAACAACAAAGTCTGCTTATATGGTGTGTCTCACCTCCCCTTGTTAAAACACTCCAGTCAACTGTGAAAAAAAAAGTTAGATCATATTCCTAGTTTTTAGGAGGAGCAAAGAAAATTGTAACTCAGCCACCTGGATCTATCATCAGGCCCTAGGCTCCTGCTTAGTTTGCTTTGTGGATGGTCCAGCTCTGTGCATACCTTCTTAAAGTGTTACTAAACCCACAACAGTAAAATCTGTCTGTATAAGCATTAGCATGCTTGTTATACTCACTGTGGTACCTAAGGGGTTAATCCTCTGCAATGTGTAAAAACTCTGTTTGATCCTGTCTTCTCTGATCCTCCCTTTCTTCCAGTGTCCCCCCGCTTATCTCCTGATAAGAAATATTGTGTGGAGTCCCTCTGCCCATGCTCAGTTTGGTGTGTATTGCTAGAAAGTATTTTTTTTTCTTGGGAGAGTGCATGTGATCAGCACAGGGCCAATCATTACTGTCCAGACAGAGGTCAGGGGTCCTGCATCCTCCTAGCGCATAATGAAAACTCCTTCTACAAGCTTTAACTAGTGCTAGGCTGGACACTGATAGAGGTCCCAAAATTGCTATATACTGCTGATGAGAAAAGGTATTTAGCAGTTTATATTTATTAAAATAATTGCATTTGCATGTTCAGTGTACTGTGGGAGACCAGATATTGTGAATGAGGGGTCCTGGGTTTAGTAACACTTTAATACAGTAAGATGGCAGCCCTTAAGGAGAAGTTTGTGTTTGCATGACAGGTCCTATTTATTTATCTGCTACACATACTGTATGTCCAATCATCAAAATAAAACAAAAACAAAAGCATGTCTACTTCAAGAAAAATACATTTTGAGCTGTAAAGGTATTGGGGTTTCAAACACAAAATACGATCAATGTTCACAAGACAATATGAACCAACTGTTGATGCTTTGAATGCTTTCTTACCCTTTTACTTTCTGAGCCTGGTCCATAGTTTCCGGCAGCGGTTTGCCAAAAGTTTCTGGGAAGAACAATACTAACAGTCCCATGGATACAGTCAGTGTCCCCATCAAGATGTAAGGCAGCAGCCTATTATAAGCACCTAGTTGAGAAACAAAGGGATGAGCAGTAACTCATCTATTGTATTTTTGATTAATTCTATTTCAAAAATTAAATTGAATCACACATAGGCTGGCCATATACTATACAATTTTCTGTCCAATTTCTGCCCAATTTCCTTTAGATTTACCTTCAACTATGTGGTGCAAGAGCCTTCCTAATTAGATACAATTGAAAGTGTTTGTTAGGTTTGACCTCCTATTATATGGTTTTTGGTAAATCTAAACCAAAAATCTCAAGAAAATTGTATAATGTATGGCCAGCCTTATGCAGGCCATAGATGGGTCGAAAATCGGCCGATTTTTCGGCCGAAAATAAAATCGGCCGATTTTCGGATCGTTAGTGGGCTATTTGTTCGGCCGTTTTTCGGTATTTTGGCCGTTTTTTTTTTTTTTTGGTGAAGTTGGAAAAAAATCGTCCGATTTTGCCGATCGGCCGATTTTGGCGGCAATTAGTGGGCAAATCGGCCGATTTTTTACCGATAAAAAATCTGCGCATGATCAGTGACCTGCAAGAGGAAGACAAAAAGAAGAAGAGGAAGAGGATGAAGAAGAGGATGAAGAGGAAGAAGAGGATGAAGAAGAAGAAGAGGAAGAAGAGGATGAAGAGGATGAGGATGAAGAAGAAGAAGAGGATGCGGATGAGGAAGATGAAGAAGAAGGAGAGGATGAGGATGAAGAAGAGGATGAGGATGAAGAAGAAGAAGAATGAGGATGAAGAAGAAGAGGAGGATGAGGATGAGGAAGAAGAAAAAGAAGAAGATGAGGATGAAGAAGAAGATGAGGATGAGGATGAAGAAGAAGAAGAGGATGAGGATGAGGAAGAAGAAAAAGAAGAAGATGAGGATGAAGAAGAAGATGAGGATGAAGAAGAAGAGGATGAGGATGAAGAAGAAGATGAGGATGAAGGAGAAGAGGATGAAGAAGAAGAAGATGATGAGGATGAGGAAGAAGAAGAGGATGAGGAAGAAGAAGAGGATGAGGAAGAAGAAGAAGAAGAAGAGGATGAGGATGAAGAAGAAGAAGAGGATGAGGATGATGAAGAAGAAGAAGATGAGGATGAAAAAGAAGAAGAAGAAGAAGTAGGATGAAATAAGAGGAATTCCAGTCCAGCAAAAAGTGTCTCTGCAGAGAGCTCCGCTATTTCTTTGACAGTTCTCTGACAGTTCCTTGACATTTACAGCGGTTGAAACATTGTATCTATTTGTTTCCGAATAAAAACATCTGTATCCTAAATGGAAACAAATAGATACAATGTTTCAACCGCTGTAAATGTCAAGGAACTGTCAGAGAACTGTCAGAAATAGCAGAGCTCTCTGCAGGGACACTTTTTGCCGGCTGTAGACGGGATGAAAATCGGCCGATTTTTTTTACCATTGGTGGTAACGTCGACACTTGAACGACCGATTGTTCGTTTTTTTAAAAGAAAAATCAGCCGATTTTCGACCCATCTATGGCCTGCATTACTCACTAGTAGACCTTATAATGCAGGCCATAGATGGGTCGAAAATCGGCCGATTTTTCTTTTAAAAAAACGAACAATTGGTCGTTCAAGTGGCCGACGTTACCACCAATGGTAAAAAAAATCGGCCGATTTTTATCCCGTCTACAGCCGGCAAAAAGTGTCCCTGCAGAGAGCTCCGCTATTTCTGACAGTTCTCTGACAGTTCCTTCACATTTACAGCGGTTGAAACATTGTATCTATTTGTTTCCATTTAGGATACAGATGTTTTTATTCGGAAACAAATAGATACAATGTTTCAACCGCTGTAAATGTCAAGGAACTGTCAGAGAACTGTCAGAAATAGCGGAGCTCTCTGCAGAGACACTTTTTGCTGGACTGGAATTCTTCTTATTTTCATCCTACTTCTTCTTCATCCTCATCCTCTTCTTCTTCATCATCCTCTTCTTCATCATCCTCTTCTTCTTCATCCTCTTCTTCTTCTTCTTCATCCTCTTCTTCATCCTCATCCTCTTCTTCATCTTCTTCTTCATCCTCATCCTCTTCTTCTTCTTCTTTCTTCTTCCTCATCCTCTTCTTCATCCTCATCCTCTTCTTCTTCTTCATCATCCTCTTCTTCTTCTTCATCCTCTTCTTCTTCATCATCCTCATCCTCATCCTCTTCTTCATCCTCATCCTCTTCTTCATCCTCTTCTTCATCCTCATCCTCATCCCCATCCTCATCCTCATCCCCATCCTCTTCTTCTTCATCCTCAGATTCTTCATCATCTTCTTCTTCTTCTTCTTCATCTTCTTCTTCTTCTTCTTCATCATCTTCTTCTTCTTCTTCTTCTTCATCATCTTCTTCTTCTTCTTCTTCTTCATCATCTTCATCATCTTCTTCTTCTTCATCATCTTCTTCTTCTTCATCATCTTCTTCTTCTTCTTCATCATCTTCTTCTTCTTCATCATCTTCTTCTTCTTCTTCTTCATCCTCTTCCTCTTCCTCTTCCTCATCCTCTTCCTCATCCCCATCCTCTTCTTCTTCCTCATCTTCTTCATCCTCATCCTCATCTTCTTCATCCTCATCTTCTTCTTCTTCATCCTCATCTTCTTCTTCTTCATCCTCATCTTCTTCTTCTTCATCCTCATCTTCATCTTCTTCCTCATCCTCTTCTTCTTCCTCATCCTCTTCTTCTTCCTCATCCTCCTCTTCTTCTTCTTCCTCATCCTCTTCTTCCTCATCCTCTTCTTCTTCTTCTTCATCCTCTTCTTCTTCATCCTCATCCTCTTCTTCCTCATCCTCATCCTCTTCTTCCTCATCCTCTTCTTCTTCTTCCTCATCCTCTTCTGCATCCTCTTCCTCTTCTTTTTCTTCTTTTTGTCTTCCTCTTGCAGGTCACTGCTCATGCGCAGATTTTTTATCGGTAAAAAATCAGCCGATAGCCCATTAATGCCGCGAAAATCGGCCGATCGGCCGATTTTTTTTTCCAACTTTACCAAAAAAAACGGCCAAAATCCCGAAAAACGGCTGACCAAATCGCCCATTAACGATCCGAAAATCGGCCGATTTTATTTTCGGCCGACAAATCGGGCCGATTTTCGACCCATCTATGGCCTGCATAACTCTCAGCTGCATGCTAGTTGCGAAGTAATTACTGAAATTGGTATTTTTTCACAGCTACACAGATTTACCCTTAAGAACTGTGCAGATTATTCAGTATGGCAGTGAAAACTGCAGATAGGTGTTTATAAATACTTTTAAACATTACTGTAGTCAGCTGAAAAAAATAAATCCAGATGGTTTAAGCCTTATTTAAAAAGGAAGTCCATTTTACAGCAAATTATATTAAAGGAACGACACATATGAAAACAAATCTAGCATCATGCAAGGCCAAGAAGACGTTAATGGCCGCTTTAACCATAAGATATCACAACTTGTCTGTAGACAAATAAAAAAAAATCACAGCTCTAAAGCTCACTAACACCTGTCTAACGCCCATACTAACGCTATGGCGGCGTTTTTGAAGAGTTAGAAATGTAGTCACGTGTGAACAAGCCCTAATGCTCCTAGCACTGATATCAGCCAACATGCCACGTAATGAACTGCTGCAGATCATATAAAACAGCTAGTCAGGCTACAGTATTCTACAGAAAAATGTCAAGCGATCACACACAGGATACCAACTCACTGTGAACATAAAAAAAGGAATGGTAGATGGCTTCAGCTCTGCTCTCTACTGGCAGATGTCACTCAGACACGTTTTTGCTCCCTAGTGGGCTTAATTGCTACTTCTGTCACCCAGAACTGTTGTATGTATGTAATTATGCATATTATGAAATACATGTTCATTACTCCTTTAATATTGTTCAGTAAAAAGTTCAGTTTTACTATAAGAAAAGTTTACACATTAACTAGAAAAGGTAAACTGATGTTGAATTTTTATGACCAGTCCTGTCACCTTGGCCTCTTTCATCATAAAGTTCATAAAGAACAATGCCAAGTACTAATTTGTATGCAGAAAGCTGGCCATGCAAGTGAAGACCATCTGCACTTCTGACTGTCTCTTGATATCTTGATAATAATGCATTTATCAGCTCTTCATAATAAAATAAATGATTCTAAATTGGCTACTTGGTTTATTGAATAATGCTGTGGTTTTTTTTTTGGAGTTGGTTGTGCCATGTCCCATGCATGCTAGTGAAAATCATCCCATATAAAGTTAGACTAATTCTCAAGGAAGTTTTTCTCATACGTAATACTGTAAGATAAAGCATTTTGCTAATTAAAAAAAAACTTACCAAGGTAAACAAAGTATGGAGAAATGACACTTCCTACTCTAGAAGACATAGAACCAATCCCCACACCCATATTCCTGATTACAGTGGGGTAAAGTTCAGCTGTGTAGACATAAGCCATAGAAAATGCTGCTGTCACTCCAAATTTCCCTATCATCACCATAATAGTGGATACGGTGTGCAGATCTGAAAAAATAAAGCACAATTTTTAAAAACACACTGTAAAAGAAATATTTTAACAGGAGTTATATTGTATAATTTATGTGTTAGAATGTATGAAGCCACAGCTTTTAAAATTAAACAAGACTCCTACCTATAGGTACCAGTTGAACAAGAAGCAACACAACTCCACCAAGGAGCATTGTCCCACACATGGAATATCGTCTGGGTACAAGTCGGAGCAACTGCCATGCTATTATGTATGATGGAACTTCAATGGCAGCCAAAAGGAAGCAGTTAAGAAATGGATCCCCATTTAAATTTGGGGTGTTTAGTGAAACACCAAAATACCCAATGGATACAATCATCCTATAAGAATAAAAGGGTTTTGTTCAGATTTTGACAAGCAGGAATTGCATAACATATTAAGGCTTTGAAGTACAGAGTGCAATATCCAACTCTTTACACATATCACCGGAAAGCCTACATACTCATAATAATTCTTTGCAAATTAATGTCTAGAGATAAGTCAAACTACTGATATCTAATTCAAGCCTTTAATGTTTTCTGAACTTATCCAAATTGGTTTACCAGCACATTTAACTGAGTTTTAGAGTCTATGTTAGTCCGGACCCCACACCATCTAACTCTTAAATGTCCCCCTGTAGCCTTACACCCTATGAGGCCAGTTTGATGAGGATTCAGATAACCCAGCCTCACATACAGTGAGTGTATACAAACTTTATACAGATGGAATCCACAATGAAATTTAAATGCAGGTCCCTCTGGGCTAGAGTGATGACTACTTAAACATAGGTAGCCCTTTTATTTGGGCCTGATGTGCTTACATTTCCTTGTTAAGTTTTCACTATGACTAACCAACCAGTATCATTCAGTGTGAATTCTTAAAGAGGAGCTCCAGTATCATTTTTAAAAATTAAAAGTCAGCAGCTACAAAAACTGTAGCTGCTGACTTTTAATAAACATACTCACCTGTCCCAGGATCCAGTGCTGTGCTCACCCAAGCCCTTTGTTCCACTGGTCTCCTGTCCCCGGTGGCATTTTGACTGTGGGCACCCATCTGGGACAGCTTGTGGCGTCTGTCACTTTACCAACATGCCAACACTTCACCAACATGCTCTTTTTCTTTTCTTTTGATAATTTAATTTTTTTTATTTTCCCTCACGTTCAATCCCAGTGACAGTGGTCACCAGTGCAAATAAAGACACAAAATATCTTCTGTGAGAATGCAGCAATAAAACCTGACCAAGACCTTAACCTTCCCTACTTTTTCCAAACAAACATTCCTATGCTTTAAAATGTATGACTCTGTTCTTACTTACATAAATATTACTAATATAAACCATGCTGGCTTGTAATTATTGAAAAATTAGAGCAAAACTTATAATAGCCATTTCTTCTGAACTTACCAAAATAAGATAGTAAGAATGGTGATGATTCGCATGTTTGTGAGTGTTAATTAGATCCAGAATTGTGTGACGTTTGTTTTGCCTTTCTTTAATATCATCCAGCTATTTGGGAAGATAGAATTAAAATATTATATATCCATTTAGCTCTAGTGAATTTAGTGCTATCAATAAATGTGAAATTTAAATACAAAAGACCACAGAATACAGCCAGCCAGGGCAGATAACATTATACCAACAGGCGGGGCGCCATCAGGGGGGGGGGGGGGCTGGGACGACACAGCCTATAGAGATGTAGGAGGCCCGGGCATCCCAAGGGACCCAGGCCCCAAGTTGGCACCTCCCCTTTGTTTTACACTGCCAAACAATTAGTCCTGACTACCACTGGTGCCACCCATTCCACTCCACCCAGTCCTGATTCCCGCTGGTGCCACCCACTCCGCTGGCTGTCACTGTCAAAATTACTGGTTGCTAGGACCACCTGGCATCCTAGCAACCATTCACGTGCAGTCACAAATACCGGCAGAGGAGGAGGCCTGTACCTTCCTCAACCCTGCTCCACTAAATACTAGTGCTTCACCTCCCGGATTCTGCCTTTCGTATGGCTGCTGAGAACAGAACTGGGACTCTGGTAAGGGGGACCCTCAGAGCGCTGACCTAGTGCAGGGGATTGGGGGACCTCAGAGGAGTAATGCCTGGTGGAGAGAAGAGGCAGGCACTGCTGAACAATTTGAACAGCTGTGTGGGCTAAGCGAGTTTGGAGGTGTGCTGTGACTGTCTCTTTGTTGAATTGAGCTGTGACTGTCACTTTGTTGGATTGGGATGGCTCCTTGATGGGGATGTCTTTTTGCTATATGGGGATGTCTCTTTCCTGAATTGGGCTGTCTCTTTGCTGGATGGGGATGCCTCTATGCTGGATTGGGCTGTCTCTTTGCTGGATTGGACTGTCTCTTTGCTGGATGGGGATAACCCTTTTCTAAATATATGGAGATGTATCTTTTCTGGATTGAGATGACTCTTTACTGAATATATGGGGATCTCTCTTTGCTGGATTGAGTAATTGTTTGCTATATGGGGATGTATCTTTGCTGGATTGGGCTGTCTCTTTGCCAGATTGGGCCATCTTTTTGCGATATTGGGATGTGTTTTTGCTGGATGGGGATGTCTCTTTGCTGAATTTATGGGGATGTCTCCTTGATGAATATATGAGGATGTCAATTTGCTGAATTGGGAGCGTGCATGAACAGGTGACTATGGTAGAGCTATATAGGACCACACAATGTAAAGGAGACTTCTGAGAGATATCTGTAGATGAAATCTTGGAAAAAAATGTAGGGTTTATTATCATTTTAAAATTATCTAAATCTAGGTGAAGGTTCTCCTACTACTTCTGGGAAGGAGTAATTACAGAAGACTGTAGAGCATAGGATTTGTGGCTGAATTTCCCCACACACACCATTAACGTTTTCAAACAGATCCATTCAAATGACTTTCAATGCTTTCATCATTACTGTAAAAAACCCTTTGCATTGTCATTTTAGTTTCAATGCAGAGACACCAGACCTTAGGAGAGCAGCAAACCTTTTTACCTCAAATGCTTTAAATATTACAGCTGGTGCTGAAACCTTGTTTAGCTTTGCCGCTTTCCTTATTATGACCTCTGCTTCGTCTATCTTTCCTTGAGAGATCAGCCATTGTGGAGATTCCGGAATAATCCTACAAGAGACATATTTTTTTAATAATATTGATCTGTTGCTAGTTCTGCTGGGGCACCCAATATAAGTGTATATTAATATGTAAAAGCATGCTATACGTATTTTTTGTTGCAAAATAGAACACTAATGGGTGTATATATCTAGGTTTTCACCCAAGATTAACACATTTGTGTTGATTTAACCTTATGTGGGAAAAAATATGTGAATCACGGGTGAGCTGTCTTGTAATCTGAGGGTCCATTTATCAATGTTTCACTCAAGATTTACACAACTTTCACCCATGATTCACATTTTACACCCATAAGGTTTCATTGATAAATATTGTGTGAATCTTGGTTGAAACATTGATAAATAGACTCCAAAATTACAAGACAGCTTGTTAAAAACAGTTTGTTAAATAATGCAGGAGTAAATATACTGTTTACACAACTAACTGAATTGAAGGTGATATTTTAAAGCCTAACTCCAGACCAAAAAAATTTTAGTTATTGTGACTTTTTCACACTTCCTGTCCCTGCGATGCCTGTACAAGAAATGCACATTGTGGAAGTCACTAGCAGAAAAAGACACAGACAGCAACAAAACACTGTCAGAAGTTCTACCTCTTCCCTTTTCTACTAGAAATGTGCTTTTGTTTTAGGCTGTTTCCATGCTGGAGAGATTTCCACTTACATCCTGCCAGGACAAGAAGTGAGAAGAAATGTCCTCAATAATGACCTCAACAGGTGGCAGTAGGTTCTAACCTGTATAAATCTATCTCCAGTGTATATGTATATGTAATATATGTTTTAATGCCCTATGAGGCAGTATTTTTTGAAATACTGTAATAAAATTTGATTGATTTTAGTTGGTTTATTTTTTTGTAGCAGTTCTCTATTGGAGGTATATTAAAGTTCCCCATTTTTCTATGTTTTAAATAATGGGAAATTACTTTCTATTTAGATATTCTATTATGCCTACTTTCACTGGCAAACTTCCTTTAGCCTCAAATATCAGATAAAGTGAGACCAAGAGTTACACAGCAAATCATTAAAAACCAAAAATTGTATCAAATACTTACTGTAATTTTCCTTGGCTGGTGCCAATCCACGTCAGCATACATGTGGTAGTAGCCCCCCCTACTTCTGCCCACAGGACCAGTGCATTGTTATAAAGAGATGATGTTATGAGAGTGCCTTGTTTTGACGCTCAAAGCTGGATAGTCAAATAAGAATCACCCCACCGGCAAGGAAAGGGAGCAGGTGTCCCAGAGTAATTTCCAGTATACCTGATAGGAGATATAGGTGGACACTGCTCAACTGACCCCAGGATTAAGTCGCATGGATGATTTGGCTTTGTCTCAGCCACGCCCTGACACGTTTCATCCCACCCATCGGGGCTTGATCACAGAGATGTGATCAAGCCTTCGTGGGCGGGGTAAAATGTGTCAGATGGCATGGCTGGAGCGGTGGCTGAGGCCAAGCCAAACCATCCATGTGTCTGATTCCTGAGGTCGGTTGAGCGCTGTCAACCTTTATCTCCTATGAGCTATAAAGAGATGACGCCCACATAACAGCTCAGAAACAAACTGGATGGGTTTAGTATTTTGCCATGGATTGGCACCAGGAAAGGAATATTATCATAAGTAATTGATACCATTTTCTATATATGACTTCATTTTCCTTTTTTTTCGGGCGCCAACATGACAGCCTGCGTGTGGAAGATGAATGACTAGCTACCAGGGTGGAAAACTTAAGCAGATCCTACCTTACAAGAAAGTAAGTGAGCTACAGCCTTCCCACCTAAATCAGCTGTAGTGAGGACTACTGAGCCCATCAGTAGTGCTGAAGGAATGTGCCATAAAAGGAACTGTTTGGCTGCCCATCATGTTGGTTGACACCCCTACGTAAGGTGCTCACAATGTTCAAATGTTGCTGGTCAAATTTGCAACAATAACTTCTGGTGGCTGCAGCCCAAGCATATAGTGGGCTCTTCAAATTAACTTTAGGAATCACAAGACAATTGTGCACTGATGCCTTCTACCCTTCTACCCTGGTTTCTAAGAAACTAGGTACAGCTATTCTGGCTACCTAAACAACTGTAGTTTGCAAGTGCGGTTTGTTTAATCTGGATGTATTGAGGGAATGCTTAACCTAAGGCTTGTCAAAGCATTCCCACTGTGGGATAGGCAAAACAAAACACCCTATGCAATGACAACAGCAAAGCTGTGACCTGTCTTCAACTCAAAGAGCCTGCCCAAGGATTCTTATACCAGAAGCTGGCTTCAGACAAGTCTCAGTGTCCATCTGGTAGAAACACAATTTAGCACTATCTGAGATACCCTCCCCATCTGTGCCAACATCCATATCCCTTGGACAAGGCCCCAGTGCACTCCTCCTTCTGTGGTACATCCCAAATGCCTGCTCTGAAAACCTGGACTTCAGCGCAAACAGAGCACCACAGTTGGCATCAAAGTGCACTATTATGGCTACAATCACCTCAGGACCCTGGTAGAACATAGAAAAAGTGAGGATAGAAGCCTAGGTGGCAAAGCTGAGAAACAGGTCTGCAGCCAAAGCTCAGGAAGCACTCATAAATTTAGTAAAGTACATCCTGTCAGGAAGGGATGGAACCAGAACCCTAGACCATGGGGTTGGATGATGGCCTGATGAGTCAACTCAACATGGTGGAACTAGAAATTGGAGCAACAGTAGAGGGTTCATTTTGAATGAAAACCACAAAGAAAGTAAAGGCTGAGAGACAGACTCTTCACCCCTACCACATACAACCAATAGATAGGCAGACCAAATAACTGGACAGGATGTCCTGTTTGGAGAGACAGCTAGAAACTACCCCAAGTAAGACAAAGAAATGGGTCTCAACAACCTTGCCTTATGCAAAACTTGTGAAGGGATCTATGTCAGACAAGGCTACCAGTTTGAGCACTCGCCTCAGTATGGAAAGGCTGTGAATGAACTTTTTGACCCCACGGAGCCACAACTGCAGCAACGTTGAGAGCCATAATAGTGCTGAGAGTCAAAAGCCGACCTAGTTCCAGCTGCAGAAGTGGACTTGTCCCATGAAAAAACTCCTGGGAAGGTCCTGAGGCAAGATAAGCATCTGTCGCATGTCCAGCAATAGATTTAACAAGAAGTAAACCTCCCAACTTACTATCAAGGGATTTTTAGATGTCATAATACCCTATCTCTTATAACTTGAGCTTCAATCTTCTAGATGGAATAAAAAATTCCTTGGTAACAGATGGTCCTGTTCCAGTAGATTTCTAAGAGCAACTGACCTGTGTCCCTTTAGCTTGGCATACCACATCTGCCTGGGCAACCCTGGAGCAATGAGCAACACCAAAATGCCTTCCATCCCGCATAGGTGAGATGAGTAAAGGAAGGAATAGATCAGGAAGTACTGCTCCCACGGAGTCACCAGAGCATCTGTTGCATCCACCAGAGGACCACTGTGTTTGAAATTAAACCTGCCTAGCCTTTAGTTTGACCTCATGGCCAGGTAGTGAAACTCTGAAGTTGACTACTTGTGACACACCTTCAGGAATGGCTCCAGGAGTAGGAATCATTTTCACAGGTTTAGGTGCTGCTCTAGCTATTCTCTCTAGACTAGCTATAATACTGCTATTGACATTACAATAAATGCTTTTATGCACTGTTTATTGTGGACTTTGCTGATTCATGAGTTAATCCTAGTCTAGTGGTTCAGAACTCTATTCTAAAATTACATTGGTGTAAATAAGTGATTATACTGTCTAGTGGACTGTGTCTGAACGTACCATTTATTCTAACCCGTACCAATACATTGAGTTCATTTACCACTAAATGGTTTTGTGTTTATTTCCCAGTTCACAGCCCAGTTAGGAGTATCTACAGTATACTTGTGTTCTTATAAGTGCTTGCAGTACCTTTCATTCAACAAGTGTGTCAGAGGGGCTAAGGATGTTCTTGGAGTTGAGATGCAGAACAAAGAACCCAAATTACCAAGTGGCTCCTTCGAGGGTAGCGTTACATCTATGTAGCTTAAAAAGTTCTTATCGCAGGCACTCTGGAGTCTGAAATGTTTCAGGAAGCAAAATTGTGATTCCTTACTGCTGGTTCACTCCAAAATGCGGTGCAGGAAAGGCATGTTGTTCAATGTTCAAAGTGTACCACCTTTGCGATCTGCTGTGGGTGCCAATACATTGTTAACAGCACCCCAAATGCAGATCACAAACACAGTGAGTATGTCTGCACCAGATTGCATGGTGCTGTGTTACCATACAATTTGATGCAGTACATATTTTTAAAATTGTGTGTGCACTACTTTGTGCACGATCGCACTGCACTGAATCTCACAGTAATTGGTCCACGTTCATGTGTAATTCAGTGAACTGGCCTTTAGAGGAGTAACTGTATCCTCAGAAAAAGCAGTCTCACATTTCCAGGTAAAACTACACAGCTAGAAAGGCAGTATGCATAGACAAAGACAATATTTAGCATTTATGTAAAGATTGTTATATGTAGAGGGGTCCAGGGTGCACAGAAGACAAAGGAAAAACATTTTTAAGTGTCTTTGAGGTCTGTATATGAGGATGACCAGTGCTCAATGTAAAGGAAAGTATTTGGAAAAACAGACTAAAACAGTAAACTCACCACCACAGAGGAATGCATAGGAGCCCAGGCACGGTCAGAGCCATCAGTAGTGTCCTCCAGTCTCGGAGGAAATATGCAAACAGAGGCAGGATCATATAGCCAATTGCAAAAAAGATACAAATTCCTAATGTTGAGAAGATAATTCGAGCAGATTTGCCAAGAATTTCAGATCCTGTGAAAACAAACAATAAATTACAAAGTGTTTATAAACTGAATCCCAAGTACTAATGCAACAGCTCTTATGATTTAGACTGTCCAACCATGGTGTGAATTGTGTTAGTTAGTAGTGATGCTACTGAGTGTTGATCAGGAAGTGTGGGGTCAGGGGTGGACTGACAACTCATGGGGCCCCTGGGCAAAAGGGGATCATGGGGCCCCTGTGTCCTTGCCAAAACTCAAAAAAGCCTATGAAAAAGGTACCAGGGGCATCTCATGGGGCCCCCTACTGACCCCGGGCCGAGTTTCCAAATGGTCAGTCCGCCCCTGTGTGGGGTTTAAGACTTTACACAACACACTGGCATTTTCCAGAGCAGGAGCACCAGGGTGATTTGTGTCTCAAGCTACTAAAATTTATACAAACGTTACTATCAATTGGTCACTACAACAATGGAACAAATGGCTTTATATGGTATGAGTTACACAAGCAATATGCAGTAGTGAAGGTGTATACAGTACACAGACTAGTTTATCAGTAAAGTGGCCCCTTTGTGTTTTCTATTACATATACCTGTATGTGAGGTGGCCAAGACTTCTGAACTTTGATTAGTGATAAATCAAGAAAATATTCATTATATACAATTGAAAGCAATAGTGGGTCTAATATATATAATCAAACTGGCTCATAAACATTTCCAATAATGGTTGTTAATGCTGGAGGTCACTGTTACATAGCTCAATGGTTACTTCTTGCTGTCCTTCTCGCAACTCACTCATGACATGTACAGAGCAACAGACATGATGCCAATAAAAAAGCAACATACCCTGATAAAAGTAATATACTGTATATTTATCAAAAAGATAGCAAAATGTACAAGAATGAATCCAAAATCCAAACAAAACAGGGCATTTCTTCTGCCATACTTTTATGTATTTTTTATGCATTGTATTGAACTGCATTAGGTTAGCATTTTTCATTAGTGTCAGGCCACTGCAAGTTGCTTACTAATAAGATTTTGGTATCTTCCTCTGTCCTCCCCTTCTGCTTAGTGCTAGTTAGTTTAGTCCTAGCTAGAAGTTCCTTACTTTTTCCATGTTCCCTCAGTCAGTGTTAGTTTTTCACAAAGTCATTGGGATTGGTTTACTAAAACTAAAGAGTGCAAAATCTGGTGCAGCTGTGCATGCTAGCTAATCAGCTTCTAACTTCAGCTTGTTCAATTAAGCTTTGACAAAAAAAAACACATGGAAGCTGATGCTTTATTCAATCAACCCCATTGTATTTTAGTGCAAATAGCTGAAGTAAAATTGTGTTGGTTTCAACTTCTGTGTCTTATTTAAGAGATAAGCTGCCTGTGAATGGTGCCTAGACAGCAGTTGCCCATACTGTTCGGACAGACTGGGGGAGCTTTACTAAAACTGGTGCATTTAGAATCTGGTGCAGCTGTGCATGGTAGCCAATCAGCTGCTAACTTCAGATTTTTGAATTATGCTTTGGCAATAAAACCTGGAAGCTGATTGGTTTCTAGGCAGAGCTGCACTAGATTATGCTCTCTCCAGTTTTAGTAAATAACTCCCATTGGGTCTAAGAAGGTAGGTCAGTGCATAAAGGAGGGCATTTGAAACAGAACAGTACTTTACTTTTTGAAAACTGCACGTGCAGTGGTAGCATACTGTTTATACAGCTGTAGCACCCTCCTAGTTCATCTAAATGGCTAGACAAGAGCTCATTAGCAGCTCAGGTGTAATAGCCAGAGGGATCAAATTGTGGTCAGGGCTGAGAGGCTCTGAAGGTCAGCACCTCTGGAATTTCCCCCAGCCTCAGAGGATTTTAGAGGAGGGCCTTAGAGGCAGTCAGTGGATCTGCATGGCTGGCTGCACTCTTGAAGGACCTCAGCCGATCCCCAACAGAAGGCTTGGCAAGGGGCTGGGACTCCCTTAAAAGTGATGCAGCCTTCTCAATAGTAGGATTGTGGTGAGGAGAAGTGTAGAGAGTTGGAGGAAGATGTGAGGCTGGAGGAAGAAGACTGCCAGGAGGCCTAGTGGGATGGAGCCTGCCTGCAAGCCTGGAGCTGAAAAGGAGGATAACGTGGAGCTCACTGGCCCCATGAGGGAGGATCACCTTTATGGCAGGGAAGGAGCAACCCAGCTGATAGACCTGATAGCAGCAGCCAACCTGCATGCAGTACAGGAGAGGATCTGAGTGAGTACACTTGCACCCACTGGGCGAATAGGGGAAGGAGCACTCTGGTGAGAAACCAGATTAGCCCCCTATTAGTGACTGTTCACCCATTTAAAGGAACAGAAGCCAGATCCCCTGCTCAGGAAAACCACCAGATTGTTGGGTGAAGAGGAGAATTTAATCTAGGGTCTGGGGGTGGTACATCAAGGAGATGCTGGGTAGATCTCAAACAGAGACTGTGTTGCAGAAGAGAAGTTTGTGAATAGTTCCAGGAAGTTTGTCCTTAGTTGTTGGTTCCCTTGGGCATTATATACCCCCCCTTACCCTATCCCAGTTCTAAATCCCCTCAATAAACAACAAAACAGAAGCTCAAGGACTGATTTCTGACTCTGAACATAAGCTTGTGTGGAGAATGCAAATTGTCTGGCTGTGCAGGACTATAGGGGGACCCATTTCATCAGCAACCTCTAAGGGGGTAGTGCTACACAGACACAAGTTCAAAAACAATTTTCTTATATCATACTGTGATCACTAGGTGGCAGTGTTCTTGTATAATGTATTGTTCGTGCTTGAAAAACTACCTGGTTGCGATGTAATTTCCTGTCTCAGTGTCTGGGTTGTTTTTCATCAAAGCAAGAAGGACTCAGCAATGTGTCCAGCACCTTCTGACTGGTAAGAGTCATATCTGCAGTAGTTCCACTACTGCGATTTTACATGCACGTTTCAAATGGTTAACCAAATCTAATTTTAAGAAATTATTCATTTTTATTTCACTGCTAGTTGTGTGACCCACAATGCTGAGCTCATCATTTTTTACTTTTTTAAATAATCGGACTGTGTAGGGCTTAAAGTGGACTTGCAGTAGCAGTACAGTGTAAGCAGTGGTGTATTTAGGTTTTATGCTGCCCTAAGCAACACAAAAATTGCCCCCCCAACACACAACTTCCCCCCCCCCCAGACACTGCATACACAGTCAAGCAGCCTGCAGCCTCTCACAGATCCCACCTGGTCCCCATGCCACGTGTGTCCCTTCTTCTACTGCCCCCCACCACCCTGAACAATGCCGCCCTAGGCAAATGTTTGCCTTGTGGTGAATATGCCCCTAAGTGTAAGGTTCGTTTATAATGCCCTCTCCCTCACTAAATGTGTTCTCAAAATGTACCTGTAGAGAAAAAAGGTAGATTGTACTCTTACTTTACCCGTCTTTCTCATTGCTATGTGTGATGTCACTATACTTCCGGGAAGGTTCCTGGAAAACAACGAGTACCCAACATCTCGAGTACCCAACATCGTGAGATATGAGCTGCTCTGCATTCCCCATGGTCCTTTCAGAAGAAGCATGATGTTATCCTCATCTCAATGGGGGTAGGGTCAGTATAAACATTTTTACATTACAGATACATTTTGGAAAGACTATCAGCAGGAGATTATTATTATTATTATACATTATGGATGGTGGACATTGTATTTGTTTCGCATTTTTAACCACTTCCCGACCGGCCGTTGCATATAAACGGCCGGACGGTGGCACTGCAGGGTCGGGTGGCCGTCTATAAAACGGCCTCCCCGCACCCTGCTTGTGCGCGCTCCCTGGGAGCGCGCAGCACCGCGATCCGGTGCCCGCTGTGTCCTCCGGACACAGTGAAACACCGATCATCGGACGGGACCTCTGTACGAGGTCCCGATCATGTGATCACTGATTGGCCAATCAGTGATCACATGCAAAGTAGTAAGCAAGATGTCACTTGTGACATCATTGCTTACTATGTGTGAAATCTGTGAATGATCACAGAGGTCACATGGTACAAGCCTATTCACAACAGGCTTGTACCATGTGACAAGCTGTGACCAATCACAGCTCAGTCTCCAGTACTTCTCAATGAGTGCATGAATGCACACAGAGAGAAAGAGAAATGATTGCTTTTACATCCTATATGGGTGTAAAAGCAATGTGTAAAAAAAAAAAAAAAATCTTCATCACCCCCCACAAGTAGTACAGTGTCACCATGGTGACACTGTACTGCTAGGGTGACAGTATATAAAAAAAATAAAAAATAATAATATAAAAAAATAAAATAAAAATGTAAAAAAAAAATGTTTAAAAAATTATAATTTTTGTTATAAACTAATTTGGATTTTTTTTTTTTTTTACTAAAAAGATAACGGAATAAATTTTGGCAAAGATTTATGATGAAATATTATTTATTTGCAAAATTTTATTAAAAAAACACTTTTTTCAAAATTTTTGGACATTTTCATTTACATAGCAAAAAAAATAAAAATCCCAGCGGTGAATAAATACCACCAAAATAAAGCTTTATCTGTTTCAAAAAAATGGTAAAAAATTAATTTGGGTACAGCGTTGCATGACCGCGTAATTGTCATTCAAAGCGTGATAGCGCTGAAAGCTGAAAATTGCCCTGGTCAGGAAGGGGGTAAAAGTGTCCAGTCTTGAAGTGGTTAAAGTGGAACGTTATTTACAATTAGGTTTTAGCAGGAATGAGAAATAAATAGAACCTCAACCAAGTTTTCATTGATGTTTGTGACACCTTTGGCACCATTGGTGAGATTTCCGCTCTTTTCCTGTCCAAGTCAACACAAAGAAAGTGAAAATAAATCATCTCAGATGCTACCAGGAATATCCTAACCATTCTTTACTTTAACCAAAACTAAAAATTGTTATTGTACACATTTGGAACTTGCTGGAAAACCTACATGATAATTCAGTAATTGTTCCCTTTTCTCCAAAAAGGTGTCTTTGCTGTCTCTCAAGTCAAGAGAAGAAGCCATGGCTTTATTGGTGAGGGATCTACTTGTGAATGGCCAGGCTATAAAAA